CTAAACTCATACAAAAAATACTAATAACTTTTGGATGACATGCATTTATAATTGACAATACAAAGAAAACATCATTAACAGTCACGAATATTCAAGGCATAGTGGATATATCCCATGCCACGGATATCCGTGGCTATTACAAACTTCATTTGCCTCTTTAAATTTTGCATTGGTTTCATATTGTTAATCCTTGTTTAATATTGGCAAAAGTTTACTTTTGATCTCTGTAGTTACCACTTTAGTTCCCGTAGTTTCAATTTTATCAAAATTGATTACATGAACCAAAGTGATAAAACCAACAAACTATAGGGAAAAAAAATGATTTTGTGCCTTTAATCTTTTAATGAGGTATGAAGCATGATCTCTCTTAAAGCACGAGGATGTGAAGAAATGTGCTATATTGGAAATTTAAGAAACCTTGTAAGGACTTATAAAGAATTGGGTCACTCTCCCAATTGCCAATTGAATTTGGGGTGAAACCTCAACTTCCTTCATGGTATTAGAGCACATTCTGCCATGTCATGTTGCCCTTACCAAAATTAAAATCTAATCTAACACATGAGGGTTTAATTCAAAAACCATCTTATTTAAGGATGAGAATTCTGACTATACATTCAAACAAAAACTGGCCTAATCACTGGCTGACATTCACAGTCTCATTGTGTCCATAAAGGGAATATTTTTGTATGTCCGTTCTGTGTGTCTTATGTTTATATTTCTAATAAACAATTGTGCCTTGATTGACTGTAACTTTGCTAATAATAACTCCCCTTCAACTCATGTAGGTTCGGATCAATGACCCAGGAGTAAAAATTCCTTTGCTCTCTACCGGACACATTGGAAAAGAGAACGCCATTGCAAGGCATGGAATTCATGGGCTGTACATAGGCTGTACAATGTGGACATTCCAGGTGCTTGGTGCAAGAATTCTATGGTGAGACTCTTATATATGGCCCTTAGGTGATGCCCTATCTTTTAATCATTGGATCAAATTAGTTAGTCTGATCCAACGGTTAAAAGATAGGACCTCACTTAAAGACCATAAAACCCTCACTATAGAATGACTCTGTTGGTGATAGGGGAAAATGTCTTTTTCCTTAACTCGAAAACAGTGTCAGCCAAATTCCAGGGAATTTATGTATGACTATATTCGTTTGGCAGGCCCAGCATCTTTATAGAGCAAGGATCTTTGATTTTTTATACTCAGTAATAAATCAAACATAATCATTCATCTATTGGACTCTTTCTTTGTGTTTCCTTTTTGTTTCCCTGTGAACAAAGAAAACCCTGGCTAATAAACGTCCTAAGCTTAATTCAAGTAACGGTTTAACTGATTGCTGATAACGGGTTATGGTGAGAGTTTAAATGCCAGGTGCATTGGAAGAAAACAAGCTTCCTTTCTTGAAACTATGTACAAATTTGATACTGAATACACAAGTCAAAGCACAAAAAGTATGAGATTACTCAAACAGAAGGACCAGACCTTAGGACCCTCTCTAATTTCTCGGCTTTAGTGTAATCCGTTTCTGTAAGAGAACCAGCAGGAAAAGGAGTGATTTCCACAACTAGATGTGGAGTTGGGAGCTCATCGAACAGAGCCCTTACGTTGTTGCAACAGACAGTTTCTCCGTGAGCGCTCTCCCTCCTAATCTGGCAACCCTATAAATGCCCGAAGAATTATTAGCATGTGAGATTACATGGCTTTCTGAGTACTGCTATTCAGAATTTGACTAAGAAGAAAAATTGAAATAGATGGAAAAAGATAAAGAACAATCAAAATGGAAGAAACAGAAAAGGAAAAGGAAACAGTTTTCCTCAAAGTTGTAATTACCTTGTGGGAGGTGGCATCTACAAAGTGATCGTCCTCTGACAATAAGGAGGCAATGGCTTTCAGAGCACGCCGCCCTTCAGATTTAGAGGGTACCCTGTAGTTCCTTCTGAGTGTGCCCTTTGTGGTAGGATGCCATTTGCTCACTAATTTCCTTCTATCAGCTGCTTCTTTCACTGATAAAACAAATCAAAACTGAGGGTTTATAAAATATAATATGGATGCTAAAGGAAAGGAAAATGCAGCTCTAAATTAGAAATCTGTGACATTAAAATAAACAAAAGGGCCAAAAGGTTTACAAAAGCCGAGAATCATTACCTTCATGTGGAACACAAGAATAACTAAGGTTCCCCAGTCAAAAACCTTTTTCTTAACAAAAATATTTTTCATAAATATCCATCCAAGTAGTTAATCAACACTTCTCTCTCCTCATGTGAACACATGTTGGTGTATCTTTAGCTCTCTGTTAGTATGATGACTTCAGGAGGTGATACACAAACCTACTGTACTACCCCTCATGTCATACCCATAACGGCAGAAAGAGAGAAAAAAAAAAAAGGATTTTCATCAAGAGTAAGCCATAGCAAACCTCAATTGACAAAAAATTATTCTGACGTTCTTTCGGCCTTGAACAAGATCAACAGAAATAAATAAATGCCAACGGAATTCTTTGGCCTGGTCATTGCCTTTTTGGATATGAAAATGCCATAAAATACATATTTGTACTAATCCATTATAACCAATATAAGTAACAATCTATCCATTTTTATTTCATTTGTCCTTTTTTCGACAAGTAAAAACGGAAACTGGAACATGCCAAGGGGGGCTAGTACAGCAACCCAATTAACCAAATGCAAAGAATGATACTGAAAACTAATTAAACAATCTATGAAAATAACATCAAGTGAAGGGTCAGTTGGCACATTGATGGTAACACATGTCCCTTGGAAATTCATAGTCTTCAGGCAGCAGAAGCATTAGAATTTCCTGCTTAACGACTCTACTCGTCATTGACCACCAAATCATAAGGAAAGACACAGGATTCGTTTATGATAACCCACTTAGCCTTCCAGCATTCCGTCATACAAGGGCTAATGCTTCATTGCAATAAAATACCATAAATAGAATTTGTAGGCATCAAGGGAAGCCTTATTCTAATCAGCAAAAAGGATCAGGAAGGAACCAAGTATGTGTCCTTTTGAAGTGCCAAGGCACATTAAAGAAATAACTTCAGTCGATTTTCACATCAACTTCTTTAGAAAGGTGTCATTTTAAAGTTCAACTTCGAGATAAGTAAAACATATGCTTAGTTTACTCTAGTAATAAGTAATCTGAGCCTTATTACTGAAACCATTATTTCAGTGATTTTGTCCCAATTTTATTTATTTAATTCAGTGATCCTATATGCACAAACATCAAAACAAAACAAAAATTCACATCCAGTAGTATTCATGTGTCATCAGTCCCATGTTTAATTTCTTAGAAAATGCGAGCAAATTTATCTTTCTCATCTTCAGTTTATTCTTAATAATAACTGAGAGAACATAAATCTCCACTCTGATTTACCTGGTGCAACTAATTTCTTTTTACTACCCTTCTTTTATATCCAATGGTTATAATAATGAAACCTGCTTGAAGGGCAACAAAATGCCATTCAACTTAATGTATCCAATATAAGAAAGTACAGTTAAAAGAAACAAACAAACAAACCTGGTTTCCCCTGTATGCTGTTCAACCACCTAGAAAACCCCAAATCAGCAGACTCAATCCCAACCCCATCACCTTCTTCAGTGCTTCCCAAATCTGAAAGCCAGTAAAAGAAAAAAACTTAATCAAGAAAAAGACCCATAACAACTTTCTGAAACTTAGAAATAAACTAAAGGTTAACAGAAAATAACCAAGAAAAGTAGAAACAACCCATTAAAGAAGTAGACCTGAGACAAGTGGGTTAGCTTGAGATCCAGCTAAACCAGTCTTCAAGAGTGCGTAGAAGATGCAAAGCCTACCAGCCCAAAGGACTGGAGCTTCAAGCAAAGAAGCATGGATGGTGAGCCTGGGGTTTCTGGATTTAGTATAATGTGATCTTTGGCTAAAAAAGAGTAATCTTTTGAGGGCATTTGTGGGTTCAATTCCAAGACCAAGAAAGAGAGTTTTGGGCAGCACAGTGGTGGGATGAAGAATCTTGAAGCTTGGGGATTGGAAAGGTGATGATGTTAAGGTGGTTTGCACAAGAGAAAGAAGCATTTCTTCAATTACAGTGACGAGTGCCAACAAATGACTCGATGAGAGTTGAGAGAGACGGAGAGAAAATAGATGAAGATTTGTTTGGGCAGTGTCTGATGGCGCAGAGAAACGATGTCGTATCTCATCTCAAAGACGCTTTCAGTTTCAGAACGTTTGGCGTGGCGTGGAGTGACCCAAAAAACAATAGTCCTATATTTAATTAATAGTGGTAGTTATTGAGTATCTATTTGAATAATAGTGACACGCACATACCCTGCACCTTCGAGGCCGCATCGAGCGTCTAGGATTAGATTGAATTGGATAACTCACAAAATTTAATATACGTTGAAATTTTTTTTATGAGATTTTAATTTTAATAGGATTGAAATAGATAAGTTCCATTCATCAACAATCCATCTTATACTTTCAACTCAAACAAAATTTGGAAATTGACATCCATTTGAAATTTGCTCTTTTCTTTGTTTCTTTTTATAAGTGTTGGTTTCGGCTAGAAAATGGCAAATACGGGCTTCTTTGTAAATAGGGAGGCAAGCTACTAATCCAAGTAACAACTAGAAGCCAACGACGTTTGATTTGATCATGACTTCATAGACAACTTTTTTTTTTTATAATTAATTTATTTATAATATTCAAGCAATAATCTATTTTAATATAATCTAAACTACGTGAAGGGGAATTCGAACTCAGATGCAAAGTTGGGAGTACGTCCGCTCTAGCCACCTTGGCTAAACCCATGTCTGCATAGAGAACTTATTTAAAATAGAAAAAAATAAAGTCTTATTTTTCTTGTTGACAAATCCCCAGTAGATATTTACCACTCAGACTCAAAAAATTATTTTCTTTTCACAGAACTCCAAAATTATAATTGTTGAGAAGAAAATAGAAATCTCTAAAAATAAAAATGTAAAACCAACTGTCAACATCAAGCAAAGCTGTTGATGCTTATCCTTGACTCTAATGGATAAATCAGAAATCCTATCTTATATGGTCATCCATCAATGGAGCTACCATCAGTTTTAAAAAATAATAATGATAAATATTTTTTTTAAACACTCATTTACAGAACAGAGGGAACAAAACTATTGCCTCCAAAGCTATACAAAGTCACAGTTCCTATATTGGGCTACTGTGACAAGAAGATGAAAAACTATAATCTATTCTATTTACTGCAAGATGCTTAGTAATCAAAAAAGGGTGAGAGGGATCACAAATATTTTTCATATCTTCACAAACCGTATGTCATTTTGGCCAAATGGAGTTCCACAGGCAGGGCATTTTCGATGACGAATCTCTAGATTTTTTTGTACGCAATAATTGCAAAATAGATGATAGCATTTCACAATTACCACCTGCAAATCAAATAATTAGCACCAACATCCATCAGTTCAGCAGAAGATTTAGCAAATTATTACAAATTTGTATCTCAAACATTGGTCAAATAAAGGTAAAGGTGGCAAATATTTTTTCCTTACCTCCTTTGGCCTATCAGTACAAACACTGCACTGCAAAATATTCTTGCAAAATTTAATTTCAGATTGGAGTTTCTGTATTGCAGCCTCTCCAGTTTCAGAACTCATCTCAGCAACCATGCTGTTCAATTCCCTGAGCTCTTCCTCAAGATTCTTCCTAGAGCTTCTGCACAAGAAGAATCCAACTTGTTAGAAATCTTCCCACATGACTTTTGAGTATTACAACTAATAGCTGCACAAAGACATCCCACATGAAGAAATCTTCCAAACTTGCAAAATCTGATCGAGCAGGGAAAGGTAAAAAGTTCGGAGCCATCGCTGTATACATTGTCCCTGCTCATGATTTCCTGAGCCTATTAGCCTATCACAATTACCCAAGGCATCTATCCAGCATGTGAAACTGGGAAACAATATCTTACATGCCAAAACTGTAGCTGTATACAGTTATACAGGCTTCCTAGATTGTTTATAAGAGTGAATGCATAAGCAGGCACTGTAATCAAAATGGACAAAACACTACCTCTCAATGTGTAATTCCAATTCGATATCATTGATATCCTTTTGAATATGAGCATGTTCCTTCTCAGAAGAGGAAACAGCAGATTTCAGCCACTGCAACTCCTTCTCAGCATCAGCCAATTCCCACTTAGCAGTTTCCACATTGACTGCAAGGTGTCTGTCTTCCTCAGTAGTTTTTGTGGCTTCTGTCAGGAGAGCCTTCATCTGCAGGATGCAAATACCCACTTGATAAAGGTTAACAAATGGAAAATTTGTCTGCATAGGAGAAGCCGTACCTGCTCTTCACCATGGGAAATTCTCATTTTTAAAGATTCTACTGATGTGTTTACTTGTTGAAGTTGTTTCACCAATGCCTGCTTATCAGAGAGTAGAAAGCTCTGTGATTGCTTTGTCTTCACACTCTCAGAAACGAGCTGCACAAAAAAATAAATCTCTTTGAAAAACCAGGGACAACCAGCCAGCATTCTACCGCACCAATAAACTTAGCAACAATGTGGAGGGAAAGAAAGGCCACAAAAATCAATGAAAATAATAACACAGACCTTGATATTATAGTCATCCCTCTCAGTCACCTGCTGCAACAGATGCTGGTTTTGTGTCTGCATATCTTCATATGCCTGACCAATGGTCTGCAGGAACATAATAAATTTATTAGATAATGAGTAGGTGAAGCAGAAAAGTGAGACCAACGTCATCGTGTCAATTATCAAGGAACAGAAACCCCAGATATCAATCAGAAGATAAGCATCAATAAGGCACCTCAATTTCAGATATATAAGCCTCTGCCTCCTTGTCTTTAATTCTAATAGCCTCTGTAAGCTCCAGAACATCCCTGAAGAAAAAGGTGAAAACATGGCATTACTAAGATTTTCCAGTATCTTTTACATGGATATGTTTTATCTTAGTGAAAGAAAACACACATAGAATCTAACATCCTAGTTTGCACATTGTTAGTTATTTGAATAAGAAAAACAAACCTCTCAAATGCACCAAGCTTGGCCTTAATTAAGAAAATTCAGCTTCAGAGGTAGAAAAGCATTTCTTTAAAATTCTTACATTTATTTACTGAGTGTGCAATCAAGTTTAGACATCTATACATTGCTATACTTATTATCAAAAGCATCTTCAATTTACACACCTGGCAACACAATATTTGGACCTTTAGATGAAAACACACACTATAATTAACCCTACTGAAAACTTCTCAGTAATTTTTTTTTTTTTCAAATAGTCGTATATCTCAGATATAAAACACTGAATATAAAAACAGAATAACATATTTTTGTTAGTATGCAACTATATTCAAAACTCAATCGGCACTAGGAAAACAACTAACCTCTCAGATGCATCAAGTTTGCCCCTTAATTCAGTTATCTCAGCTTCGGTAGCAGAAAGCCTTTGCTGACAAGCAGCTTCAGCTTCATTGGCTGCTTTCACCCTCAACTCTAGACTATGTTCATCTATTGCATTTTTGAACATTTCAGCTTGTGAGAACGCTCTGCGTTCTGATTCTTTGATTTCCATCAAGTCTCTGAAAATTTAATATTAACCTTAAATGTGTCCATTTATATGGAATCAAGAACGCAAGCAGCGCATGAAAGGAAAGTAAAAAATTTCAATAATCTCAATTAGATAAGAGAAAACAAATAGAATCTGTCACATATTAAGTTGAATACACAAATCGTATAGATGAAGAAATCACAACATTCACTCATGGCTATCTCTACCCCCACCCCTAAAAAAATAAAAAATAAACCTCCCAGCATCAACAAAACAATTTACCTGTTTTCATAGCTTTCCTGTGCATACAAGTCTAAGAAGATCTGCAGTTCCAGTTTTTCTTTCTGCAACTTCTCAATCTGCAATAAGTTCATCTTCATCAGTTACTGACATAAGCTCAGTTAAAGTACAGTCCATGTGTCTTAAAATTCAAAATGTTCTAAAATGCACTAATGACTTATAGTTTGAGTACCAATATCTGCATACACTGTGTTCCCTATTTTCTTGTTAGGTAATAAGTCTGTGCATATTCATATTTTATTACATTCATGACTTTCCACTAGAAACGAACTATATGGTTTCACCAGAATAATTAGTTCTATGATTAAATTGGACAAACTACCCTCAAGGATGTCATTATATAATGCTTCCATAGCCGGACATGAAGATCACGCTATGGCATTTTCCATGGAAGGTGCCCAGGCAAACAAATACATAAAAAGTTTATTTTGCTGGGAAACACAGCCTACGGGTAATTTTGTGAGTCTGTTAAAGAATTTAAGCTTAAATTGTCAAATGTGATAGAATTAGAATTAAACAGCAGGTACAGATGTACGAAGAACCTGCATGTAGAGGAGTTGATACAAACTGACACGTACAAAGGTAGATTAAAAGCATTGATGAAGCTGGAAAAAGAAAATCCTATATTTAAATGGTGAAACAAATCGACAAACATGGATCCATTTGAAGGAAAGCTAACTATATTCAAAGACTAATGGAGGAACTCACCAATGGCTTAAGAGACTTTATCTCTATCAACTGTTCAGCACATTTATCTGCTAAGCTCTTTTGCTCATGTGTCTTCCAAAAAAAAGAATCAGAGAAATTCAGAGAATATTCCACGATTAAATACTAATCAATAGTAAGAAAAAGGAGTAAAACTATTACAAATCCAAACAAATAGTAATCATAAGACTTCTTTTACTCCAGAATCACAAATGAGTTCTCCAAAATAACCAACTTGCAGTTTAAAAAAAGGAAAACAAAGCTTCTAGGTACTTTTTATATGTATGTGTGCATGTGTGTGTAACTTTCATTCACATGACACAATTAGAAAGATCAGTATATCCCTTTATTTCCAAATTATAAATTGTCCAAAAAACAATGCAGTAGGACTGATATGAGTACGAGAGTAAACCGGGAATGGAAGTGAACCTTTGTAATTAATGAAGCTTTTAATGATTGGGCTTTGTCACGTAAAGACAGTGTTTCATGAGCTGTTTCCTTCCACCACTTCAACTGAGCTTCCATCATTCCCATTTCTTTTGACAAAGATGAGGCCATCACACGAAACTCGGCTATAATGTCCTTTCTTCCTGCAGCACAGAACATCTTAAGTACCAGAAGCTTGGGTAAACTCACAATTAATATCAATAAACATCAAACTGATGTAATTTTCACCTGAATCCTGTACTGCTTCTTCCATGTTTATCTCAAAGTCATTTTTTTCAATTATACACTTCTGCAGCTGAAGTTCTAGTTCTTCAATCCTAGAATCAGTATTGCCAATTGAATTCCTAATTGCATCTGCCGACTCTACTTTGACATTTAGGTCCTTCTCCCTTCTCACAACAAGAGCCCTATCAGCCTGAAATTAAACTTTTAAAAGACAGAACTTATGGGCCAAGCATTCAAAGCATCTGGAAACACAAAAACAAAGCAATTTAACCTGCAAAGAATCAGTCAATGCTTTGTATCGGTCCACTTCAACATTCCAATGTTGGAGTTGATCATTTCGCATAGTATAAAGTCTCGATGAATGTACAAATTTGTCATCCTTCAATTCATTCTGTGAGAAGCATAGATTGTTTGTCAAAGAAGTAAACACACACTGAAATCATTTTGAAATGTGTATGTCAACTAGCAAACCTTTGGAAAATTCAAAATTAGAAACCTGAAATTCTTGCAATTGTTTTGACAGCGTTAAATTTTCTTCATGTGCCTCTTGATACTCAGAAAGGCGGTCAGCTGCTAGTATCTGCAAAACATGCTCAAACACGTCAGAGAAAGAGCGAGAATGGGAGCTGGTACAAAGGAGTTTTGGCAACATATCTAAACCTTTGTTTCCTCGATTGAATTTCTTAGTTCCCGCAAGCTTATTGTCCTTTCTGTTGATTTTTCAGGTGATAGGGTTCCATTCACTGCACCAGAAGTAAGGTTATGCATCCCAGATGCGACATCCTTTTGCATTTTCAGATTCACTAGTTTCCTCCTACTCTCCTCTAGTTCAGTCATGCTGTCATCCAGCTCACCTGTCACCCATAACAGAAAATTTACATATTCAACAAACAATCAAAAGGTGGCATCACCAAACAGTGGTAAACTTTGAGACTTAATCTCTGTCAGAAATTGAGCAAAGTTCCTAAATCTATAGGTCTTAAATATGATGCTGAATCTTTACATGTACTGCCACGAGCCTTAGCACAAGTGACATGGGTTGGATGGGCTGAAGTGTAGATCCTAGGTTCAAATTTTCTTGTAATGCGAAAAAATGAAAAACAAAAACAAAAATTACATATGTGCCGTCAGTAATCAAGTGTAGGATTAAACATTCCTACTAAATATGCAAATAAAAAACCAAGGCTTGTGACTATAACCATCTCAGAAACCTGTAATGCGGCTAATTTCAGACTGATCTGTTGACTGGCTGCTAAGGTAAGTCTGAATTACATCAGCATACTCTTTCTGCTTCACGTGAAGAATATCAATCGCTTCCCGCAGATTTTTAACCTCCCTCTCCATCATATCATCAATCTTAGGTAACTTGATGATAGCATCTGAGAATCACAACAAAAACAAAGAACCTATAATCAGTACATAATTCCTCATGCACTTACTCCTTCAAAAATAAGTGTTAAAAAATGAAAAAGTTATTGTATGAAATTAGTTTGTACAACAATGAATTTACAATTGAACCTCTGACCTTCAGAAGATATCTTCCCATCCAAAGTGTGGACCATGCTCTCTGTTTTTTCCCTATGAGAATAAATGGTATGTTCCAAGAGTTTTAACAACTCCCTAGTAGACGTATGACGCAAAGTGAGAGCTTCTTCAACATATTTAGCAATTTCATCATTGCCATTAGCTTCTATAGAATCTCTCTGTAGGAGTCTACAAAGAAACATCTCCTCCGCAGAACATGATGGAATTGAACCTGAAAAACACACTGGTCAAACTAATCTATATGATGTGAAGAATAAAATAAAATGAACACTAAGATTTTGATTTAGTCATCAGAAAAAATGAGGAAAAAAAAAAGATGAAGTAGCATAAAACAACACATGTGCTGTAAAATACCACGAGAATAATCAGCGCCATCTAAAATTTGTAAAGCATTTTGGCTTCCTCCAGCACATAGTCCAAGAAGAATTAAATCATCAACCAACTGGTCAGCAAAATAAAGAAATCACCATCAGAGAAAATTACATGTCATCCTGGTGGACACAATTGAGACCATGAAAAGGAAGAAAACCCAACCAAACATTTAAGATAACCTGATTCCATATTTGATTCACTGTGATTAGCATTTCATCATAAGAACCTTGCTTATCCTTTAGTTCCTTAATTTTGGCTTCAAGATCCTGCAAATCATGCTTCTGTTTGTCTATTTGCTGAAGAAGTCTCTGGTTCTGGTACTGGAGAACTGCTGCATCGACCTGGGCACGTATAGTACGTACACAAAATACCAATACATTTCAATCTACTTCCTATCTCAAATCAAAATTGAAGTGTACTTGAAATGCATTGAACCATCAATGTGCACTCATCTAAATGCATGCCTTTTTTTATGAAATAGCATACTAACTTCGGAAGTGACTTCATCAACTTAGAGATTAATGATGCTTTACTGCCCCAATTACACAATTAATAAACAGAAACCCTCTAACCTACACCCTATACTCCAAAAATTCCAATTGTGTAACTTATATCCCTTTTCTTACACTTCCTCAACAACCAAACAGAGCATAGTACAATTTTTCACATTCTCAAAAGCACATCCAAAGCAGGCCCAAACTCCAATCACCCATCAATCACAGTAATTTTATCAATATAAAAAATAAAAAAAACACCTTTTTTTTCTTAAACCAAAAAATTTGATCAAAAGCATTTTTCCGTCAGTAACCAAGCAGACTGTAAATAGAGAGAGAGAGAGAGAGAGAGAGAGAGAGAGAGAGAGAGAGGGATTACGCTATGGTTATTGGGTGGAGAAGTGGTGGAGCTACGAGCCATGGTGGGCGAAAGTGAGTTTAAATGAGGCCTCTTCTTCTCTGGCTCGTCAGAGTCTGAGTTTTCCATTTATCGTTGTTATGGTGCTCTTTACGGAAACCACCGCACCATTACACCTCTCAGGTTCCGAGCTCTTTCTGTCAAAAGAAAAAACCCTAGAAGGACTGATAGCGTTTCCGCAAGCACGACTAGGAGTGGGAGTAAGAGATCGTTGTCGACACGACGTCGTTGAGAGATCACAAGGAATTCATTTACTATCGTCAAAATGAAATGTACAATAAATTTCAGCCCAAAATGAAGTTTTATGTAAAGGGTACAGCCGATCGGCTATACTATTCTTATAATAAAAAAAACTCTAGTATAGCCGATCGGCTATACATTTTTTATAATAAAAAATCCGAGTATTGCCGCGCGGCTATACTATTTATAATTAAAAAAAGACCACCGCCTGGCTTCTAGCGCCTGTTTCCCCATGTGCGAGTACAGCCGTGCGGCTATACTATTTCTATTTTAAAACAACACTGCGTATAGCCGCGCGGCTATCATCTTTATAATTCAAAAAAACCACCACTGGGCTTCTAGCGGCTGCTTTGCCAGGTGTCAAAAAATACAGTACAGCCGTACGGCTATACTATTTTTATTTTAAAACAACGTTAGTATACTATTTTTATTTTAAAACAACGTCAGTATACTATTTATAATTAAAAAATACCACCGCCTGTGTGTCAAAAAAATCCATGTATAGCCGCACGGCCATACTATTTTTTTAAAACGACAATGCGTATAGCCGTCCGGCTATACTATTTATAATTTTTTAAAAAGACCACTGCCTGGCGACTCCACCACGTGTCAAAGAGGTGTAGCCGTTCGGCTATACCTTTTTTAACTATGCCCCATATATATATTTGGAGGGTATAGCCGGTATAGCCGGCCGGCTATACCCTTTTTAACTATGCTCTATATATGTAAAGGTTTGCTCTTCCTAACAATTCACTCTCTCTTTTCTGTACACAAATGTATTGAAGCTTTGGACAGGATCGGAATGGATTTAATGGAAACTGGAAATCCAGATGCATTCAAACAGTATCTGTCGGAGTTTGATAACACCATTCACTTGTAGAGGATCAGTAACTTGGGGATTATTTTCTGTCTTGTGAGTTTTGCTACCATAATTGGAATGATTTTCTGTTTAGTTTCTCTTCCTGTTGGTTTGAATGGTCTGATTGTGAATTTGCTACAATGTTATGAATGCGGGGTCGAAACTTGGCTGGGTGAAGGAGCTTTTGAGGAATTATTGTAACAAGAATTTCAGAAATTGAGGTCTCTTGTGGCTTTTGGAAGATTATGATCTCTGCATATTATGAGATTCCATAGATTGTTCTTTAAAGAAATATCCATTATGCAAAATCTGACTGAGAGGCTTAGGCCCCTTGTGGGTTTGAAGACCAACAATTGATTGATTATATCACAGCACAATGGTGCTGCAAGACACCCTGCTTGGTGCTGGCTGCAATACAAGCTTCCCTGTTAATATAAATGACATGAGCACTGAAATACAACCACAGCCCTTTCCAGGCAATAAGAATGAAGGAAATGATCGTCTAAACTGTAATCATTTCCAGCAGTCGCCTGTTGTTTCCCCAGTGGATCATGATTCGAATGTGCCATACGACATATCAGTTGATCGAATCCTTCTCTGCCGAACTTCGAATGCGCCAATGAATGTCCTGCAACATGTCACTTACAACTCAGAGAACAGCATGAAGAATGTCCTTGTTTTTGTGAGAATTGATAATGCCCTTGTATTTGATAGAGGTCGTGTGTTGAGCTGAACACGAATGATTGTAAAAAATTTCTTCTTTTCTATATGGTTCTGAATGTATAGTTGATGTCTTGTATGATTCTTAATTGTAAATAAAGGATGGGATTCATTATTGCTTAGTACCAACAGATGGCAAGACCCTCGAGGTCGATGATAAGAGCAGTGATTTTTTGAATTTTTCTTTTAGTATTTTTCTGATGTGAAAATATAGTAGCTAATAGTATTATAGAATGTTATGTAATAATATTTCTTCAAGCAATCATTGGCAAATATATCAATCATATTGAAGAGATACATATATGGTGCTTGTTGTACCTTATTTATATGATAATGAATAATGATCTAGCATTTTCCTTCATCATAGTCTTCATCATAGACATTATATCTCCACACATAGAGAGTGCCTTATGATCCCTGAAGAGCAATGAAGAACTATTTGATTGTACTAAGCTATATCTCATCTTTTTTTTTATTTACAACATTGAAGAGCAATTATGCGTGTTGAGTGTGGAGTGGTGTGGTGTTCATCTTGTGTTTTTGGACGTTGTACTCTAATTAGGGCTTGATATAAGTTCCTATCTTGATTTCATTATAAGATGTGTGCTTAATTTGGAAAATGGTCATTCTAAATTCCTTCGCTACATTTTTTGTAATATCACATGTGCTCGCGAGTGTTCTTCAGCCTTGCCTCCGCCTCTGTTTCTATCTTAACTTTCCCTAACCACCAAAGGTTTTCCTAGCTAAATTTCTTTAAGGTTCAATTAAAGTTTCTTGGTGAAAGAATGTTGGTTGCACTAGCTTAACAACAGGCACAACCAGTAGACAAATGAAGTAATATGTTATATTTAAGAATGAGATGCTACTTCTCATCTAACACATGTTGTTTGAATTCTCATTTTGAATAGTTCATATATCAATGTCATATGACCTCTGATACCTTCAATAAATTTCAAAACAGAGCTGCAAACTTCTCTTCGTTGTCTCATTAGACTTTTTTGTATCCAATTTTTCTTCAAGAAAGTTAATTGCTATACAAGCAATTTTATACTATGAAATTCAACATCCTTTGATCCACAAAATGTTGAGGGATTTTGTTGTTGTTGTTGTTGTATTTATGGGTTTAACCTGTATTACTTGTTATAAATAAAATTCATTTTTTATTCTTGCCCAATGGGTTAATAGCTGGAAATCATTAGAATGGGAGGTATTAAAAAGAATTTAAATTCTCATTTCCTAATATCGCATGTATAAATAAAATAATTGAAGAAATAACTCAAGCCCCGCGCGGCTTTACTTTCTAAAGATATTTTAAAGGTATAGCCGTTCGGCTATACTCTTTAAATATTAAGAACGGCTATACTCTTTAAATATTAATATATTCGAATATTTTAAGGGTGTAGCCGAACGGCTATACGCTTTGAATACATTTGAAACAAACACGAAAGCTTGCACTGGCATAGGACGGAGCTTGCAGACGCCGTCAAGTTTTGGCTGCTTCGTCCTCCTTGTTCGGCACCGGAAAATGATCCAACCCACCTAGGC